GTAGCAAAAGAAGAGGTTAGACAGAAGGGAAGTTTATCACCAAATGTGCTTTGTTTGTTCAAAATTCAAAGTTGGTATACGTCGGATCTATGTATTTTGAAAAATTATTATATCGTAATTTACATTTTCTTATGGTTGTAAGCTTAAGGTACATAACATGTACGTGCATTGTAAACTCAGTAAATTCAGAAAAATGGCGAAATTGCATTTGATAAACCTTAAGTCAAGCTAAAAGTACGATTTCTTTCATCTGGCTTGTAAAACCAATGCTAAAGGGAGGCGTCGATTTGAGTTGTCATGCCTGGTCATAATGGGGACGTTAAATCGGATACCTCGTGTTTGGTAAGTCCATAGCTTTTACATGTTAAAGGACCATCCTTGGTCGCAATTGACCGACTTTAAAACATACCTTATGAATTTATCATAAGATCTGCTCGTCCTGAAAATGTATGAAATACTTGCCATTGGGTAATATTCAAACAATTATCACTCAATCTGAACAACGTCTAAACAATTTAGATTTAACAATCGTAGTTCTGAAAGAGGAAGTGTTTTTTTTTTTTTTTTTTTTTTCATTGATCTACTATCTGACAAATTTACTTCGGAAGACGCTTAAATATATCTACGAAACGTTTGAAAGAATAAGAATAGAATAAGGACCCAATCGTACTTCGAAATTAACCAAATATGTCCTTCCGTTACAATGCGTGGAGGATTCTAATGTACCATATATATTATGCAACGTTGTATCTAATATGTTGGTCTCTGTTCTCAGAATGGCCATGTTTCCCTCTTGTTATTGATATTGTTGTTCTTGATTTTGAAACTTTCTCCCTTCGAAAATTTCAGTGTACTATACTACTCACTTGATTCGATTAAACTTACTTGAATCTTTTTTTATATGTTCTATTGTATTGAGAGGCAGATACTTTGTCCGTTGTCTCTACAGAATTGACTGTTCGTTTGTTTGTTAAACTGTTTGACAACTAATAAATGTGTATATCAATTGTCAGCAACCACTTTGTACACATTTAAGTCTGATGTTAATTAAAAGATTGTCTTGTCTTGTCTTGTCAGTGGCGTAGCTAGGCCATTTGTAAGTGCACGCCCGATACTCGGCGAGGTGTCTGAGGGACCAAAGCGGTCTGTAAACAAAAACTTAGTCCATTTAGTCGACCGTGCGAGACCCTCATTGGTAGTCAAGGTCGTTAAACACCCCCTAGTAGTAAAATATCGTTGACATAACACTAGTGGTTCCCCATAAACAAACTTATCACAAACTAATGCATGTAAACCAAGCAAAAGTTTCAAAGTCAATAGACCATGACTGAGGGGGCGGGGCCAAATAATCTCCATGGAAATGAGATGTGCCAATGCTAATACAACTGCATACCAAATATTATTTGCCTACCACTAGTGGTTCCTCATAAAGTGACCTAATTACAAACTTATACATTGTTGACGCCGCCGCCGACAACGACGCAGGAAACAACATACCTATGTCTCACTTTTTGACTCCGTCAAGGCGAGACAAAAATCAAAAGAAATATTCATAAAACTTTGCTCTGAATACTGTCTTAAATTTGGTCAAAAAAGCTTCTGTCTAACTTCCGTAAAATTCCATGAATGTCTGACAAAGTTATTGATAAAATCAAAAATAACTTTAACAACAGACTGAACCTAAGGGAGCTACCATTTGATTTTTAAGGGGGGCTCTAAGATGAAAAATTTTGTCCTGCATTTTATTTTAGTTGTAATCTCTGTCCTGCCTTTTTATTTTTTCACTCTATTTGGTCCTGCCTTTTTTTTTATTAGTGTATCCTGACTTTTTTTACATAAATTGTCATCCTGCCTTTTTTTTGCCAAGTTGCTCATCTTGCCTTTTTTTTTTACTCAACACTCCTGTCCTGCCTTTTTTCAAATTTCATCCTAGCCCCCATAAATATCAAATGGTAGTTCCCTAAATGTTGACGACGCCGACGGAATCTAGGAACGCTAAGCCACGGTCTCGTTTTCGCGACATAAATGTCGCAGGCTATATATATAGTCAAAAATGCAAACCACATATCGAATGAATTGCTGTAAACAATAGGAAACTGAGTAGAATTCACAGTAGATTCAGACTTTGACAGAAAATGAACAAATATGTAATATGATACCATTTCATTAAAAAGTAAATTTCGTGATTTTTAAAATTTTTCATTGAAGAAAGAATAACAAGGTTCGTGTGGTTTAAGCTTTTTTTTTTATTTGTTTTGATTAAATTATTTTTTCTCCTAAATTCATGTGTACGCCCGGGCGTTTTGACGTAAACATAGCTACGCGCCTGCTTGTCTTTGGCTTTGTCTTATCTTGTCTTGTCTCAATTATTGTGTGACAACAGAAAAATATTGTAGTAATTTTTGTCTATCCAGTTATGTTTCTTATTAGGCGATCTTAAATACATGATGATATTTCAAAATGTCAAATTGAGAGAGAGAGAGAGAGAGAGAGAGAGAGAGAGAGAGAGAGAGAGAGAGAGAGAGGGAAGGGGGGGGGTCGAAAATAACAAGTCTAATAAAAACACCCAGCACCATGGCCAAGAAACGACAAAGAGACTACAATACAATAAACATAAAAATAAATGTCCCTTATAAGCTGTCGTATAATTTATAAAAAAAACAGCTATTTTTAACTATAAAAGGTAAAAATCAATGTTTACACGTATACAGGTGAGTAAACTTGTTTTTATAGAGATAACTTTCACTTTTGTGCATTTGATACATGTATATGCAAATGCTAGGTCAATTTATGGAATAAAATTAATTGATTGCAACACGGAACTTGTTATTGATGGTCATCAAAGGTTATTTTATGTAACGTGTACAAAAGATATATATAATATGCTTTATTTTCGGATTTGTATTCTTAAGCGAATTTTCATTCAATGAAATTTTAGAAAGACGCATGAATTAATTGGTCTAATCATATGAATATTTTCAGTAATGTTCATATGGTACCCAAATGCGGATCCAGGATTTTGAAAAGGGGGGGGGGGGGGGGGGTCCCGCGGGTCCCAAACAAGACAAAATTTGTAGTAGAACCTGTAAAAAGTCTGGATTAACCATAAATAAAGCTCCATAAGGGGGGCGGGCACCCCGGGCACCCCCTAAATCCGCCCCTGGACTACTAGGATTTTACAACGTGTCACATTTAATACATTTGCGTTGAAATGGTCAGATATTATAGGCATTTTTCTCAATTGCAAATGTATCCAGGAGTCAGCCGCTTGAAACAAATAAAATATATAGCATATCGGCAAAATATAGAAAATCCTATGTTGAAAATAAAAGTGCATATCAGTACGAAAAAAAAATAAAGTTAACTTGATAAATCATGGTACCTGGAAGGTATCTACAATTTCAATTGATTGACTGATTGTTGTTTGCTTAACTTCCTGTAGCAATCTACAATTTCAAAGCCGGAGGATTTTATAACCATTATATTATACAAAATAGCATAAAAACAAATACGAAGTTTAAATCAATAATGTCTCGGATAATTTCGAAAATCAGTGCCCAAAAAGTATGTTTAAAGGAGTTATGCCCCTTCTGTTATGAAATTTGAATCAAAGTTTGGAACCTATGGCCTTTGTTAGTCTTGTATGTTTTTTTTTTTTTTTATTTTGGTTCAGTTATATGTTTCGGAGTTTAGTGTGACGTCAATTTTCACTGAACTAGTATACATTTTTGTTTAGGGGCCAACTGAAAACCGCCTCCGGTTATGTGATTTTCGCGCTGTGTTGAAGACCCATTGGTGGCCTTGGGCTGTTTTCTGCTCTTTGGTCGGGTTGTTGTCTCTTTGACACATTCCCGTTTCCCTTCTCAATTTTATTTATATCAGCAATATCTGGTACTAGCTAAAAATCAGCGCTGATCAATCATTTTTACAGAAGTCATGTCCCTTAGAAATGTAAACTTTGTTGAAAATTCCATTGTAATTGCTTTCAAGTGAACAATACTTGCCAGATATCTATGAAATTTATATCAGAAGGTTATATCAGCAATGTCTGGGACAAGTTCGAAAATCAGTGCCTATCAACTATTTTTAAAAGAATTAAGCCCAAGGAAATATAAATTATATAGAAAACTGCATTGTTAGTACCCTCACATTTACGTTTATTTCAGATTGTTATAAAATTTATATCAACGGTCTATTTCGGCAATGCCTCGGGTTATTTTGAAAATCAGCGCTGATTTATTATTTTTACAGGAGCTATGTCTCTTGGAAATGTAATTTATTTTAAACATTATATTGAACATTGTATTGTAAATACACCCACATTTACATTTCTTGTCGAATTTTTAAAAAGTTTATATCAAAGACTGATATCAGCAAGATCTTGGAAGAGCCCTAACCAACTATTTTTACAGGAGTTATGACCCTTGGAAATAGAAATATATGGAAAATAACATTGAAACAATGTTATGCCTACATTTCTTGTAAGATATTTATAAAAAGTTTAATTGAACAAACACAAAATATTGTTTTAGTTATTGCCCTAACCTTTGACAGATAAAGTATGTGCAATGCGTGGAACATTGGAACTCTGTATTTTATATGTTTTATATTGCGAAGTTTGATGGTTATTCTTTTAACCAAGTCAGTAATATGACAATTGTTTTCCATTCGTTTGATGTGTTTGAGCTTTTGATTTTTGTTATTTTTACTTTTGACGTATAACTCACATCTTCTATTATTATACACAATCCATCACAGTATATCCCATATATTACCCTCATAAGTGTGCATCATACAAAAAGAAAATTGTTCAAAGATAAATAACTTGTAAAATGATTGCTATAAGACAAATTGTATATGCTTATTAATGTCAGTGTACCCTTTTTATAACAAAAAAATCAGCACTGACAGCAACAATGGGCCGATTAATTATTTTCATAAATATTATTATTATTGTTGTTGTTGTTGAGATTATTGTTATTTTTTTTTAATTTAGTATTGAAGAACGGCGACAAAAAATCATCAATCGACACTTTATATTCAGATATACAACAAATCTTAGTGAATTTAATTATGTATCAACATAAATTTCATAATTTGTCATATTTGTTGCTGTTCTGGACAATGCCAGCAATTTCTTCATCGTTGGATAGAAAACTTCCAAAGTTAATTCTTATTTCTATGGATGGTTTTAGGTACAATTATTTAGATAATGTTCCTTCGGAAAAGATAACTAATTTCACCAATCTCATTGAAAATGGCGTGAAAGCAAAATATCTTGAAAATGTCTACCCAACAGTTACATATCCAAACCACATGACATTAGTGACAGGACTTTATCCGGAAAGCCATGGTGTGATTCATAACAGATTTTGGGATCCATACCTAGAAGATGGATTTTCGTTGACCGATTTCAGACGGAATTTCGAATCAAAGTGGTTCGACACCGGCGCAGAACCAATATGGGTAACTAATTTCAAAGCCGGGTCATCAAGAGACAGTGGTGTTATTTTGTGGCCAGCTGGTGTGGCACAAATAAAGTCATACATGCCACGTGTTATACCGGCAGGCGACGATTACAATGACACTGATTGGAATTTGAGAGTGGACACTTTGGTCAAATGGTTTCAGAATGACAAAACAAATGTGAGACCAATAAATTTAGGACTATTGTATTTTCCTGATCCCGACGAAACAGCCCATAATTTTGGTCCTGATAAAATTGATGGAACTATTACTGACGAAGTACAACAGAAAATTTTTCAGCTTGATGCTTCTTTGGGATATCTAAAGAACAAATTGAACGAATCAAATCTATGGGATGAGATGAATATTATAATAACTTCTGACCATGGCTTCACAAATCTTCTGTCTTTGGAAAATGGACAGATTAATTTAGATAAATTTAATATTGATAGAAAATTTTATAAAACCGGAAGTGACATGAAAAACCATCTTGTGATGAATTTAGAGCCTGCTGAAGGTAATTTTGCATTAGACTGTTTACATTTTTAAGACAACGCATTTCATCGGTTAACTTCACAGGTTGTCTTTAATATAAGTACTTTTGTAAAAAACACTTTTTGTATTTCCATAGAAAATCTTCCATTGCAAAATGTTCATAATTTTTCATTTGCAAAACCCGTTATTAAACATTTCTCCGTATAGTTCATAAAAATATCCCATAGCACGTTTTGGTACTCACGTGTACACGTGCACGACATAATTCGTAAATAAAAAAAAGACTTAATCTGGACGCTCAATTGACAAAATCTAATAACATGGTGCGTATAAAATCCTGAAACTTGAAGGAATTATTTTAAAACATCTCGATGCAAGGTTCAACAATTTCAAATACTAACATCCCACAGAGAGTTCAAGATTTTCAAATATTGCTTCATATATATGGTAATTTATGAAAGCATTTACCTTCGAAAAATAAACAGGGCTTGAAAAAAAGCATATACTCACTCAAATTGTATCAACGGTTTGATAGTAACAAGATTTACTCTTTACGTATACATATATGCAAATGTTAAAAATAAGCATTCTGTTCATAGGAACCGATGTAGAAAAATTATTTCAAAATTTAAGTGTTATACCAAAGATGAATGTATACAGAAAATGTGATGATAGTTTGAAAAAATTGCATTATTGCCAGAACAGAAGGATCATGCAGTTTGTTCTAGAAGCAGAAGAAGGATATTTCATAGGCAACACTGACACCTTGAAAAATATTTCAAGTAAGCAAGTTTAACTTTAAGTCTTTGTATTCCATCTATATAGACGTATCTAATTAGATTATATTCGAATGACATTAATCCTCTTATGAAAGAGTCCTTTGTTTTGTCTCAAAACCTTGATTCTTTGGGAATTTATTCTTGGTTTTCATATGTAAAACATGTGTTAGAAGATACAGGTACGGATTTGGACACATTGATGAAATATTCCTCACATAAGATAACTAAAACTATAAGAGAACTAATAAAATTGAAGCATTTTTATGAAAAGCTAGTAAATGATAAAATATCAGATATAAAGGACAACAGCAAACTCACTATTTATTAACATGTAAAACTAAATAATACAGAAGAAAAATATTAAACTTGCTCATAATTTGAATTTAGAAAATTGATAAAAAAAAATTAAGTGACCACAATTTATTAATAGAAAAGGGAAGATATCTTAATATGCCAAGAGAAGAAAGATTATGCAAAAACTGCAAAAAAAAAATAAAGATGAAATTCATTTCTTTTAATATTGTGATATTAACGGTAATATATGAAGAGTTTATTTTAATTTTTTAATAAATGAGAATACACACTTTCAGATTTAAATGATATAGATAAAATTACATATATACTCAACCCAAGATCCCACATTCAGGTAAATAAGCTTGGGTCCTTTTTAAAACAGTCTATAGAACTGAGGAATATTTACTTTCATTATATGTATATAATTGATCTTGTTGATATTGTTTGTTTTTATTTTATTATGTTGTGTCACATGCTATAAATGTATATTATATTGTTTTACACTACTCATTTTGGGACCCTTTATAGCTTGCTGTTCGGTGTGAGCCAAGGCTCCGTGTTGAAGGCCGTACTTTGACCTATAATTGTTAACTTTAATACATTGTGAATTGGATGGAGAGTTGTCTCATTGGCACTCATACCACATCTTCTTATTTATTTGATGTAATGGCAGAATGGAATTGAATTGAATTGAATTGAATTGAATTTTTGAATTGAATTGAATTGAATTGAATTGAATTGAATTGAATTTTTGAATTGAATTGAATTGAATTGAATTGAATTGAATTGATAATGACGCACTTATGTGTACATATTGTGTACAAGGAATCGTAATTAAGGGTCTGGAAGGGCTTCACAGAATAGAGAATAAAGGGCATATAGAAGAAGAAGAAGAAGAAAAAGAAATGGGGGGGGGGGGGGGGGGGGAGGGAATAATAGAGATAAAGGGGTGATCAAATATAAAGAGTAGAGAATAATGGGTTGAAAAAAAATAGAGAAAAATGGCTAAAAAGTAAAGACTACGGATTCAAAATTCATGATAAAAGAACATTGGATGTATATTGTGGTGATTCTCACTGGACTAAAATATTGAATAAAGGCCTCCTGGCAGATTTACTTTTAATGTAAACAGAACAAAGCTTCTTTCGGATCTTGATAAATTGCATGATATGATCTTGCCTAGCAAAATTAAGGATCTTACAACATACATAATATATAAATCATCACAGGTTAGTGGAGGGTTGGGCGACGGAAACATGTTTAACCCCGCCACATTCTGTATGTGCCTCTCCCAAGTCACGAGCCTGTAATTCAGTAGTTGTCGTTTGTTGCTGTATATCATATTTGTTTTTCGTTCATTGTTTTGTACATAAATCAGGCCGTTAGTTTTCTCGTTTGAATTGTTTTACATTTGTCATTTCTGGACCTTTTATAGCTGACTATGCGGTATGGGTTGTGCTAATTGGTGTAGACCGTACAGTGACCTATAGTTGTTAACTTTTGTCATTTGGTCTCTGGTGGAGAGTTGCTTCATTGGCAGTCATACCACATCTTCTTAATTATATTATGTAAATTTTTGTCAGTAATAGCATCTTCGGGTACCCTGTAATTACTTCTTTGGAAGCAATAGTACATAATGAATTAAAAATGAAAACAAAAACAGTTTTAAAGGAATAACTAATCTGAATATTTGATCTCAGGACATTTGGGCCATAGTTTGTTTTATTTTTGCCAAATCTACGAAATTAACCTAATCGGAAATTCTACTTCTGTTGTTACACAGTCCTCGGAAATTACTCCAATCAGAATACCCAAAACATTGACTTTCAATCAGTTCAACACCATCAATAGCTTAAACCAGTCTATTGAAATATTAATCTGTATATTTTTGAATTATTCAAATATTTTTCTACATTTTAGAAGGTGGCCATGGCTACGACCAAAACAAAGTGCCAAATATGCGACCTTTCTTCATCGCCTTTGGGCCAGCATTTAGAAAAGGAATCATTTCAGAGCACTTTGAGTCCGTCAATATATATCCACTAATGTGTCATATACTTGGGATACATCCAGCTCCAAACAATGGATCTCTAGACAATGTACGCCATCTTTTAGTTCAACAATCTTTTATTCGGACGGAAACGGTTCAGCTTACACTGATTACTTGTAAGTCTAATTAATTTATTAATTAAAAGATTATATATATTTTTTAATCGATTTTTTGTTTTCAGTTTAATATCTAAATAATATACAATGTAATCCCTTTTGCCAATTTTTTTTTTGAGAAGTTAAATAACTTATATACAGTATTTAAGTAAAATAGTTGAATTAAGGGTACATCACATTTTTAAAAAAAGGAGTTATAATGAGTAAAATGATATACAACCTTACCATGGTCCGTGTATATTTACGTTCATCACTTTTTCGCTTAGAGCAATAAAAAATCAAAAACGAAAAGACTTTTCCCTCCTTTTTAGCTCACCTGGCCCGAAGGGCTAAGTGAGCTTTTCTCATCACTTGGCGTCCGTCGTCCGTCGTCCGGCGTCGTTCGGCGTCGTCCGTCGTCGTCCAGCGTCGTCTGTCGTCGGCGTTAACTTTATACATTTTGAACTTCTTCTAGAGAACCACTGAATGGAATGAAACCAAACATGGCATGAATGTTCCTTATGAGGTGCTGACCAAGTGTTGTTACTTTGTAGCGGATCCATCATCCAAGATGGCCGCCAGCGGGGGACTTAGTTTAACATAGGACCCTACGGGAAATACATACAAATGTCTTCTTTTAGAGAACCACTGAATGGAATGAAACCAAACATGGCATGAATGTTTCTTATGAGGTGCTGACCGAGTGTTGTTACTTTGAAGCCGATCCATAATCCAAGATGGCCGCCAGCGGGGGACTTAGTTTAACATAGGACCCTAGGGGAAATACATACAAATGTCTTCTTTTAGAGAACCACTGAATGGAATGAAACCAAACATGGTATGAATGTTTCTTATGAGGTGCTGACCGAGTGTTGTTACTTTGAAGCCGATCCATTATCCAAGATGGCCGCCAGCGGGGGACTTAGTTTTACATGGGACCCTATGGGAAATACATACAAATGTCTTCTTTTAGAGAACCACTAAATGGAATGAAACCAAACATGGTATGAATGTTCCTTATGAGGTGCTGACCGAGTGTTGTTACTTTGAAGCCAATCCATAATCCAAGATGGCCGCCAGCGGGGGACTTAGTTTAACATGGGACCCTATGGGAAATACATACAAATGTCTTCTTTTAGAGAACCACTGAATGGAATGAAACCAAACATGGCATGAATGTTCCTTATGAGTTGCTGACCGAGTGTTGTTACTATGAAGCTGATCCATAATCCAAGATGGCCGCCAGCAGGGGACTTAGTTTAACATTGGACCCTATGGGAAATACGTACAAATGTCTTCTTTTAGAGAACCACTGAATGGAATGAAACCAAACATGGCATGAATGTTTCTTATGAGGTGCTGACCAAGTGTTGTTACTTTGAAGCTGATCTATCATCCAAGATGGCAGCCAGCGGGGGACTTAGTTTAACATAGGACCCTATGAGAAATACATACAAATGTCTTCTTTTAGAGAACCACTGAATGCAATGTAACCAAACATGGCATGAATGTTCCTTATGAGGTGCTGACCAAGTGTTGTTACTATGAAGCCGATCAATAATCCAAGATGGCCGCCAGCGGAGGACTTAGTTTAACATAGGACCCTATGAGAAATACGTACAAATGTTTTCTTTTAGAGAACCATTGAATGGAATGAAACCAAACATGGCATGCATGTTCCTTTTGAGGTGCTGACCAAGTGTTGTTACCTTTGAAGCTGATCCTTCATCCATGATGGCTGCCAGATGGGGACAATGTTTAACAAAGGACCCTATGGACAATACATACAAATGTCTTCTTTTAGAGAACCACCTACTGAATGGATTGAAACCAAACATGGCATGAATGTTCCTTATGAGGTGCTGACTAAGTTTTGTTACTTTGAAGCTGATCCTTCATCCATGATGGCCGCCAATGGGGGGACTTCTTTTAACATAAGACCCTATGGGAAATACATACAAATGCTTCTTCTAGAGGTGCACTGAATGGAATGAAACCAAAACATGGCATAAATGTTTCTTATGAGGTGCTGATTAAGTGTTGCTACTTTGTTGCCGATTTACTGTTCAAGATGGCCACCAGGATTTTTTTTTATTAAATTACAGGACCAATATTAAACCAAATTTGGCCTCACTCACCATTAGGGTATCTGTTATGATTTTAATCTATTTTTACATGATTTCCAAAACCAAAGTAGAATCAGGTGAGCGACACAGGCTCTTGAGAGCCTCTAGTTTTATTATAAGAATGGTCGCAATTATACACTAAACTCATAACATGACCTCCTACGATTTACAGGAGAACTTAAGGTCTTGAATATTATGCGCTTTTTATATGAAAGCCAATAGATCAACAAGTTTTTTTCAGTAATTTTCATGACCACTTATTTTAGTGCTCTCTATTTTGATTATCTTGTAACTTGTTTTCTAGTTTTAGTGGTGGTCGTTTTTGTTACATGCATTGGTGGTCTATATTCAATCGGAGCATTTTATCAGGTAAGACGCCACCAACGGAAGAGAAAAAGAGGCGGTCAGGAATATAGAAAATCATTACTCAAAGACGACAAAGACGATGAAGAAAGTTGCGATGAACTTTAGATGACAAACTGTTATTGACAATAGACACTTTTTGTTTAAAGTAACAACTGTAGTTATAGATAAGTGCGTTTGACGGAATAGTTTACTACATGTTATTTTCTCTCCCTCAAACAGGTGTTGTCAAAACGACATGTTAGAATTATTGAATATAAATCGAATGAATACGAATTGGTTAAAAGTTGGTGTTTAACGCCCCTTTCAGCACTATTAGCTATATCACGGAGAATCGTTTTATTCTGGAACCATGGGTAGATTATAAAAAAAAAGCACGTTATCTAAGGATAAGTAATGTTTGCTCTCGTAATGATGAAGATGATGAATAAAATTCTTATTCTATTGCAAAACAAATAAAAATGTAAGAAACAATCTTTTGTCTGATCTTGATTCTCAAAAACACGGACCTCTTGAATTCCGCTTAAAATGATACTATGTACTATGAATCCAATAAAATTTCAATAGGATCAAAGTCTGGGTTCCTTTTTAAAACAGTCAATTGAACTATTAATAAAAGGATTGTTGCTAAATCTCTTGTATATAAAAATAAGGAGATGCGGTATGATTGCCAATGAGACAAGTATCCACCAAAGTTCATGACAAATGAAGTGGATGTAAGCAATTATAGGCAACCGTACGGCCTTCAACAACGAGAAAAACCCATACCGTATAGTCGGCTATAAAAGGCCCCGATATATAAAATATGAAACAATATGTACATGTGTGTATATGTTTTATGTAATATGCGATATTTTCATAGGCTGTTCGATGCTTTCACTACAATAAAGAAGATAGGAAAACTTCAAAATATGTAATCTTGTTGTCTAGCTGTTTGTATTAAATGATACTTATTCATTAAAAATCATGTGGGTTTAAAGTCAACCAGAACATAATAAAAAGGATATCTACAAGTCAAAGTAAGGTCAAGAACAGTACACACATGATTTAAGCTGGTTCTCTCCCTTGCAACATACGGGTATCTGAGACACCCGTGTTGTCAAGTAAAGCTGTCGGAGCCAAACAGATAAAGGACATGGAACGAGCCTATAATGGTTTAATTTTACAAATTGTGACTTGGATGGAGAGTTGTCTCATTGGCACTCATACCACGTCTTCTTATATCTACTAACCAATGTCTACACTAAATGTCAAACTCGAAATGAGACTGACAAGTTGGTTAAAAATTTATAAAACTACTATAAAGTATCAACACCATATTTATTTAAGGAATTTTTCTTTACAGTGGTGGATCCCGGGGGGGGGGGGGGGGGGGGTTCTCCGGGGGTTCGAACCCTCATTTTTTATACGAGCAATGCGTTTGAATGGGGACATATGGTTGGACACCCCCCCCCCCCCCCCCCCCCCCCCCCCTCCTTTAAAAAATGGCTTGATCCTCCCATGCTTTATATATAATAAAGATAACGACTGCTTAAACAATACTGCAAAACCACATCAACCACCATCACCCAACTCCTCCGAAAGAGAAAAAAATTACATACAATCAAACACAAACAACAAGGAGCAACACGTGGTCTAGATAGCCTAACTTGGTACAGACACAAAATATAGTTTCTGTTCACATTTTGTAAGACAATATACTTGTGTTCTGTTCACATTAAGTAAGTCAATAATTGTGTTTTGTTCACATTTAGTAAGTCAATATACTTTTGTTTTGTTCACATTTAGTCAGACAATAAACTTGTGTTTTGTTCACATTTAGTAAGTCAATATACTTGTGTTTTGTTCACATCAAGAAAGACAATACACGTGTGTTTTGTTCATGTGTCGTAAGAAAAGATACCTCCGATCTGTTCTGTTCATATGTCGTAAGAAAAGATACTTGTGTTCTGTTCATATTCATAAGAGAAGATACTTGTGTTTAAAAAAAAAAAGATGCGGTATGATTGTCAATGAGACAACTCTTCAACAGAAACCAAATGACGTAGAAGTTAGCAACTATGGGTCACCGTTATGCCTTCAACGATGAGCAAAACCCGTACCGCATACCAACCTATAAAAGGCTCCGACATGACAATGGTAAAACAATCCAAACGAGAAAACTAAAGGCCTGATATATGTAAAAAAAAACAATAAACGAAAAAAAAATACGAAAAATGAGTTCATATTTCGTAAGGAAAGAAATAGTTGTGTTTAATTTGTTCATATTTTGTTAGACAAAATACTGTACGGGTTCTGTTCATGTCTCGTTAGAATTATTACAAATGATACATGATACAGTATTATGTCTAACTTTGTAATTATGTATGTGTGGATTTTGACAATGATTATGAGCATTATGATTTGTTTTACATGCCTAGTACATTTAGTTTTCACAACTACTAGTATTCTATTGTAATAGGGGTAACCGCTGGATTAATCAATATTAATGTTATAACATATTCTAAATTATATAGTGATATCAGTGGTGTAATGTTTATATAGTTTGTATAGCAAAGAGAACAATCCCTTGAAATATTGAAATAACATGTTTATGGAATTGCTGTTTTCTTTTTTTTTCAATATTTCAAAGGGACTTTCTCGTGTATATTCACCATTAAAAAAGTGTTACTAAATAACGGGCGGAGTGTGTTTCTTATTCGGCCCGATTAATGTGGAATACCCCAACTCCCGGTTTTTTAAAGTTATATGCTCCATCAAATATTAAAAAAAGTATTATAAGTAACACGTTTCTAATATTGAAAAAAGAACCTCTGTAAAAGAGAGCCGAAAGATAACAAAGGGATATTTAAACTCATTATGGAAAACGAAAATGCCATGGAAAAAAACGAAAAACGAACAAAAGACAAACAACAGTATACAAAACATAACATAAAAAACAAAAGAACTGAACAAAACAAACCCCACCTAAAACCGAGGGTGATATCAGGTGCTCCGAAAGGGTACACAGATCTTACTCTTCATGTGACACCCGTTGTGTCGCTCATTAAGTACTACCTCGGTAATGAAGTCTGCTCATGTAAGTGCAAACTCTGTAGTAAAGTCTGCTCATATAAGTACATACTCGGTTTTAAAGTCTAATTCAGTAGGTCACATTCGCGGTAATGAAGTCTGCTCATGTACTCATAAAAAAATAAAAACTTAAAAAAAAAAAAAAAAAACTATGCCAGATTCCAATACACGGCAAGAAAATGATCAATGTAAATATGTTAAACATAATTCTGGAGTCTGTTTATCGAAGCGGAAGGCGCTCAAAGTTCGTGTAAGCTTCCGAATTGAATAAGTTTTGACAAAAAAAGGATATTTACGTGAAAAATGTGATTTTTTTTTAATATTGACGAAATCACATATCACTTAATTCAGGTATTCAATCGAGATTTCCTTATAGTTAAAGACGCCGAGACGGGTAGTTTGAGATTTTTCGCTGGTCTTTATCCAACCAAATCCGTCAATTCAAAATAATAGCATTAGAATTGTCAAGCCTTGACGAAATAGCGGAGGAGAGAATTAGTCGTGCTTTTTGTGGTGGCGGCGGCGGCGGCGTCTACAGTTTGTTAAAGTTTGTGATTTGGTCAATTCACGTAGAAAGTACCAATATGCAGTTGTGTAAGCTTTGATACAGTTGCATCGTCACATGTTATAGTGTAAATATCAAATTACATTCAGACGGAACATATATCTGTCACCGGATTATCGATGACCCAAAAATGACTTCTACATTCCAGTTATTGCACTATATAATTATGAAGGAACATGCAAGTACCAACTTAAAAAAAAATATTTGAACTGTACATCTTTCTGAAATTCTTAAAAAAGTAATATCTTAAACATAATTGAATACAATAGTAATTGATAGGTTTTGAAAAATGAAAACATACAAAACACTTGTAATTTTTGGGGCCCTTTATAGCTTGCTGTTCGGTGTGAGCCATTGCTCCGTGTTGAAGACCGTACTTTGACCTATAATGGTTTACTTTTATAAATTTTGACTTGGATGGAGAGTTGTCTCATTGGCACTCATACCACATCTTCTTATATCTATAAAATCTGTCATTTCCGTGTAGTCACACATTGATCAAGCCTACTGATGCAAATTAAAACGAAGGTCTGGATGGCGGTCTTTCATTTTTGTTGATAGGTTTTTTTCCGTAATCTTTATGTGTTTTGCCAATCATTCTCTATTCTTTAACACCCATTATTCTCTCTTGTTTATTTTTTGGCCTATCCGTCTTAGTTCTATATTTTTTTTACCTATTTTTCTGTACTAATGGTCCATTATTCTCTGTTCTGTTAATCCCATCTAGACCCTCTACAATGTACATTTAGTTAAAGGATGTGTTCAACATAAAATAAATACACCTAATATATTTACCGTTTACGTGTTTTGTGTATTAAATGTTTGAAACAGCTACTATCTGGTTTTTTGATACGTTAACTTTAATTCTGTGATACCAATTAATGAGATGGCTAATTAACAGCTCAGAGGGCAAAGGTAATTCGCGAATGACCGATTTATAGTGTTTGTTGTTTTTTGTTTTTTTTTTACTAAGTTTTTGTGTATTTATTTATTTATTCGTTTTTTGAATCGATGTTGAATACCTGTGAAGACTTTACATTAGGATAGGAGGGATAACTCTTTTTCAACTTATGACATCTTCATACATGTACCATGCAACTTCGTCATTTTCAAGACATCGTTCTATTAACTTTGCTGTTATTTTTTAAAATGGCATCAGTCTGCTTAACGAAAGAAACACATCTTCCTAAACTCATTCTTATTTCTATGGATGGCTTTAGGTACAATTATCTAGACCAGCTTCCTCTCGATAAGATAACTAATTTCACTTACCTTATTAAAAATGGTGTGAAAGCCAAGTTTATCAAAAACGTATTTCCAACTGTTACATACCCGAATCACATGACGATAGCTACTGGTCTCTATCCTGAAAGTCATGGTGTTGTAGACAATGTCTTCTGGGATCCATACTTAGAAGATAAATTTGACATAGCAAATTTTAGACAAAACTTTGAATCAAAATGGTTCGACAACGGGGGTGAACCTATATGGGTCACCAATCAGAAGGCAGGATCGCGAAGGGACAGCGGTGTAATATGGTGGCCAACTGGCGTTGCAGAAATTAAATCATACATGCCAAGGGTAATGCCAGCAGATGAATTCAATGAAACCGATTCAGACTGGACTGTAAGAGTTGATACTTTAGTCAAATGGTTAACAAACGACAAAGGAAATATCCGACCAATAAATTTAGGAATATTGCATTTTTCTGATCCTGATCTCACTGCGCATAAATATGGTCCAGATAATGCCGATGGTACTATCACTGATGAAGTACAACAAAAAATCTTTAAACTTGATGATACATTGGGATATCTTAAGCAAAAACTGGTGGAATCACATCTTTGGAAGGACATGAATTTGATAGTAACAGCTGACCATGGACATACGAATCTCCTTTCCCTGAAGGATGGTCAAATTAATTTAGATCATTATAACATAGATCCAAAGTTGTATACAACAGTAAGCGGTGTCCACAATGTATTTAGTTTGGAACCAACTGAAGGTAATTAAGTTCATGTTTTAAGACGACAGCTCTTAATTTTCTATTACCAAATACATGTATTCCTTATTGTTTCTCTTGTACTTATGATAAGAACAATAAGGTTTAATTTTCTCGGAAGAAGAGCTTTCTATTAAGAAGTTAAAGTAATTGAAAACAAAAATAAGGGAGAACTACAAAAAAAAAATTATATTGAGTATCAATTCATGAAACAAAATCAGAATCCGCAGAACAGCTTAACAACAGCCATTATATGTTGTGTAAATTAAAAATATGTACTATCTATCCAAGCAATCTCTCTTTCAATCTATATCTATCAATTTTAGCTGTATTTATTATTCCGCTCTTAAATTGATTATTTGATGGTTGTATATTTAACTTTGCCTTTGTATTACATTATTCCTTGCAGCAATTTCAAAATTGTGCATATCATTTTAGAATTATTATGTCCATGTTTTCAAATAAAGAAACTATAAAACAATCACTACACGCACTTAAAAAAAAAGAGAAAAATATGACGAACAGAACTTTTATTGCTGGTCTTCTTCTCAAAGTAACAGTGACGCCTTCCACATGAACAAAAAATAGCTAACGACGACACCAAGCCCCGGTTTCAGCAAAATTGTTTGCTAGATGTCAACCACGCTGTTATTGTTTTGAAGAACATATAAACAAATTGTAAATAATACCTGGCAAAGAAATCTAAAAAATACTGTCATATATTGCCTGACAATCGCACTAAAAAATAGTCGGAATTATTCTGACCATTTCAGAGTCCATACATCTTTCTAATTGTATTCTTGTATTTATATATAGTGTTTTATGTACAGGTACAGGCATAGATAAACTATACAGGGATTTAAGTGCAATACCAAAGATATATGTCTACAGAAAATGTGATAAATATATGAGTCGGTTACATTACTGCAATAACAGAAGGATAATGGAGTTCGTCTTGGAAGCGGAAGAGGGGCATTTTATCGGAAACACTAATAGCTTAAGTCTGATTAAAAATATTTCTAGTAAGTAAGAACAATTTTCAACTTTCATATTGCCCGAGTTTTTGCGCCTGAAACGCAAAATGACACCATTTCAAAGAAAAAAGTGGTTTTCTATAGATAGTGTAGTAAGCATCCAAATTATTCAAAAAAATAAAGAAAAGTGTCTCCCTTTTTGGTGTACATTTTGTATAAGCAAATAAACAAAAGAGGAGAGTTTGCATGAAAAGGAATTCTGGTTTATTTCGTATGAAATAACAAACAAAAACATAAAATAAGTATGGCTAAATGAAATTGGCTATGCATGCTTTAACATTGCAAATATAAGGGTTGAAATAATTTGTCCATGGAAAAAGTCCAAGTGTTTATACAATTTACATAAGCAAATTAAACTTTAATTTATAGTTTGACAGAACACAAGTATGAGTGGAATCCGTGTTTTCCTCATTATAGACAATATTACACAAAAGCATATATTAGAGATTATATCGTCAAGCTACTTTTCTTCTTTTTTTCAACTTTATCTTGTTTGAATCAACGGAAAATGAAATTTGTTTAATCGTACTGTTGTGTTAACATTTCATTTATTCAATAAACTATTTACTCCATTGCAAATATAGAAGCAAACGAAAAACTATGATCCTTTATTCTGCAAATAGAAGACATGGCAATACAAACTAACACAAAATCATTTCTTCAAATGAGATAAAAGAAAAAATCGTCCCATTAAACCCAATAACAAGCGCTGCGTAGAAACAGGAGCAATTATGACCTACTAATTTCACCTGTGAACTGAAAACATGAAAAAAAATAAAAGATAATTATACTTTTAAACACAAATTGAATATTACAATTGTAACCATTACATGCTTTTATTCTTAGAAGGCTCACATGGCTACGATCAAAATAAAGTACCAAACATGAGACCATTTTTCATTGGCTTTGGACAAGCTTTTAAGAAAGGACTTGTGTCAGAGCCATTTGATTCGGTTGATATTTATCCACTTATGTGTCAGATTCTTGGAATACAGCCGGCTCCAAATAATGGATCTTTAGATAATGTGCGCCATCTCTTAGTCCAACGACTTTCATCCCAGGCGGACCAATTCCAGTTAACAATTATAATATGTAAGTTAGATTTTAATTTAAACTTAATTTGTGTCTACCATTTACTGCAGCAAGGTATCAAATAGAGTGGGTTTTTTTAGGGAGCTACCATTTGATTTTTATAAGGGGGAGGGGCGGGGGGCTAGGATGAAATATTGTGTCCTGCATTTTTTTTTTAGTTGTAATCTCGGTCCTGCTTTTTTATTTTTCACTTTATTCGGTCCCGCCTTTTTTTTAAATTTATTTTTTAGTTTATCCTGACTTTTTATACATAATTTGTCATCCTGCCTTTTTTTTGCCAAGTTGCTCATCCTGCCTTTTTTTTACTCAAAACTTCTGTCCTGCCTTTTTTTTCAAATTTCATTATAGCCCCCAATAAAAATCAAATGGTAGCTCCCTTACAGTTGGAAATATAGTTTACCTTTCACTAAAGAAAAAAACAAAACACAAATCACACAGCCTTTAAAAACAAAAAGGAAACTTACTTATATTGCTTTATTAACAAACCTGCTGCTATAGAAACAGCCTTCAAGAAAAAAAACCAAATAAACAATTAAACAAAACAGGGGGAATTTAATTAGTGTAAGATATTGATGCAATAAAGACAAAAATGTAGCCAATGCCCACACTACTAATTTATAAAAACCAATTAAAGATTGTATCATTTTTAATTTTAAAAAACCCGTATCATGCCAACAACTTGTTTTAGAATAAATGTGTTTATATCTGATGCAAATACCCTATGAGTGAATCAATATTAATTCCAAAATATGCTGTCTTTAATGACCTGACAAAAGTATCGTAACTATATGTCCCTTCTGAATAATTCTGCTGAAAGGTTTTGTTTATTCATCAACCACAAATATATTTCAAATTACTTAAATACAAATACTAATTCATTCTAATCTTTTTTTTAGCTCACCTGACCTGAAAGGTCAAGTGAGCTTTTCTCATCACTTTGCGTCCATCGTCCGTCGTCCTGCGTCCGTCGTCCGTCGTCCGTCGTCCGTAAACTTTTACAAAAATCTTCTCCTCTGAAACTACTGGGCCAAATTTAACCAAACTTGGCCACAATCATCATTGGGGTATCTAGTTTTAAAAATGTGTGGCGTGACCTGGTCAACCAACCAAGATGGCCGCCACGGCTAAAAATAGAACATAGGGGTAAAATGCAGTTTTTAGCTTATAACTCAAAAACCAAAGCATTAAGAGCAAATCTGACATGGGGTAAAATTGTTCATCAGGTCAAGATCTATCTGCCCTGAAATTTTCAGATGAATCGGACAACCCGTTATTGGGTTGCTGCCCCTGAATTGGTAATTTTAAGGAAATTTTGCTGTTTTTGGTTATTATCTTGAATATTATTATAGATAGAGATAAACTGTAAACAGCAATAATGTTCAGCAAAGTAAGATTAACAAATAAGTCAACATGACTGAAATGGTCAGTTGACCCCTTTAGGAGTTATTGCCCTTTATAGTCAATTTTTAACCATTTTTCGTAAATCTAAGTTATCTTTTACAAAAATCTTCTCCTCTGAAACAACTGGGCCAAACTAAACCAAACTTGGCCACAATCATCATTGGGGTATCTAGTTTAAAAAATGTGTGGCGTGACCCGGCCAACCAACCAAGATGGCGGCCACAGCTAAAAATAAAACATAGGGGTAAAATGCAGTTTTGGCTTATAACTCAAAAACCAAAGCATTTAGAGCAAATCTGACATGAAGTAAAATTGTTTATCAGGTCAAGATCTATCTGCCCTGAAATTTTCAGATGAATCGAACAACCTGTTGTTGGGTTGCTGCCCCTGAATTGGTAATTTTAAGGAAATTTTGCTGTTTTTGGTTATTATCTTGAATATTATTATAGATAGAGATAAACTGTAAACAGCAATAATGTTCAGCAAAGTAAGATTAACAAATAAGTCAACATGACTGAAATGGTCAGTTGACCCCTTTAGGAGTTATTGCCCTTTATAGTCAATTTTTAACAATTTTTCGTAAATCTTAGTAATCTTTTACAAAAATCTTCTCCTCTGAAACTACGTGGCCAAATTAAACCAAACTTGGCCACAATCATCATTTGGTTATCTAGTTTTAAAAATGTGTGGCGTGACCTGGTCAACCTACCAAGATGGCCGCCACGGCTAAAAATAGAACATAGGGGTAAAATTCAGTTTTTGGCTTTTAACTCAAAAACCAAAGCATTTAAAGCAAATCTGACATGAAGTAAAATTGTTTATCAGGTCAAGATCTATCTGCCCTGAAATTTTCAGATGAATCGGACAACCCGTTGTTGGGTTGCTGCCTTTGAATTGGTAATTTTAAGGTAATTTTGCTGTTTTTGGTTATTATCTTGAATATTATTATAGATAGAGATAAACTGTAAAAAACAATAAATGTCGGCAAAGTAAGATCTACAAATAAGTCAACATGACCGAAATTGTCAGTTGACCCCTTTAGGAGTTATTGCCCTTTATAGTCAATTTTTAACCATTTTTTCGTAAATCTTAGTAATCTTTTACAAAAATCTTCTCCTCTGAAACTACTGGGCCAAGTTAATTATAGATAGAGATAATTGTAAGCAGGAAAAATGTTCAGTAAATTAAGATGTACAAACACATCACCATCACCAAAACACAATTTTGTCATGAATCCATCTGCGTCCTTTATTTAATATTCACATAGACCAAGGTGAGCGACACAGGCTCTTTAGAGCCTCTAGTTTTTTTAACATTTTGAGATCTTGTCATATATAATGATGCACATGTGTGTAAAATAAATATTTGGTAAACCTTGGATCATATATTTTTATACACAAAAGTACATGGGAAATGCCTATTTAATGTAAACTATGAATTTGAAATGGTAATATCATCATAGCGACCTCATCTTTTTGCACTATAGTTTATTCAGCTTTTTCATTTATTAATAAAATTGACATATTTGTTTAGCTCACCTGACTTGAAAGGTCAAGTGAGCTTTTCTCATCACTTTGCGTCCGTCGTCCTGCGTCCGTCGTCCGTCGTCCGTAAACTTTTACAAAAATCTTCTTCTCTGAAACTACATGGCCAAATTTGACCAAACTTGGCCACAATCATCATTGGGGTATCTAGTTTAAAAAATGTGTCCGGTGACCCCTGAATTGGTAATTTTAAGGAAATTTTGCCGTTTTTGGTTATTATCTTGAATATTATTATAGATAGAGATAAACTGTGTACAGCAATAATGTTCAGCAAAGTAAGATCTACAAATAAATCACTTGACCAAAATGGTCAGTTGACCCCTTAAGGAGTTATTGCCCTTTATAGTCAATTTTTAACCATTTTTCGTAAATTTTTGTAATCTTTTACAAAAATCTTCTTCTCTGAAACTACTAAGACAAATTTAACCAAACTTGTCCACAATCATCATTAGGGTATCTAGTTTAAAAAATGTGTCCGATGACCCCGCCCGCGAACCAAGATGGCCGACATGGCTAAAAAATAGTACATAGGGAAAAATGCAGTTTTTGGCTTATATCTCTGAAACCAAAGCATTTAGAGCAAATCTGACAGGATAAAATTGTTCATTAGGTCAAGATCTATCTGCCCTGAAATTTTCAGACCAATCAGGCAACCTGTTGTTGGGTTGCTGCCCCTGAACTGGTAATTTTAAGAAAAGTTTGCAGCTTTTGGTTAATATCTAATATATTATTATAGATAGAGATAAACTGTACACAACAATAATGTACAGCAAAGTTAGATCTACAAATAAGTCAACATGACCAAAATTGTCAATTGACCCCTTAAGGAGTTATTGCCCTTTATAGTCAATTTTTTACAATTTTCATAAATTTTGTAAATCTTTGTAAATTTTTACAAAATATTTTCCACTGTAACTACCGGGCCAAGTTCATTATAGATAGAGATAATAGTAAGGAGCAATAATGTTCAGTAAAGTAAGATCTACAAACACATCACCATCACCAAAACACAATTTTGTCATGAATCCATCTGTGTCCTTTGTTTAATATGCACATAGACCAAGGTGAGCGACACAGGCTCTTTAGAGCCTCTAGTTTTATTATATGGCGAGTAGAATTAATGATTATTTAATTGAAATGTTTTCACATTAAAAACCATTCTATTGAGATTGTTTCTTTACACCCAATTTACAATAACCTTGACAAATCTCACTACTAGGTATATGTAAGGGATTATCATTCTTTCACAAACTTAGAATATTGTAAAGTGCTCAAGGCTCAAATGATCTCTTGATTGGTTGTTTTCAAGAATTAGTTTCATTGTCATTGCAATGTTTATAATTGATGCATGACTTCCTTTTTCGGCATTTCATTTATGGATTAGTTTTAGTGATGTACGGACTTTCTTATAATTTGGGAAATATAAAAAAAAAAATAAGTTATAGACATTAGGTCACACAACAGTACAAAGAAAAATTAGGAATTGTATATGTTTCCTGATTGTGAGTATGACTGTAAATCATGTAATATTTTAGTGAGGAATTATCCTTTGTTTATTTACAGTTTAAATCAATAAATACTTTCGAGTTACAACTAATTTTATTTCACAGGCAATATTTTGGTTCAATAATAAAATACTATTTCATTCAGTCAGGGGAATGTTCAAATAAAATGCCTTTAAAAGTATTAAACATATTCAAAATTTAAATTAAATTCCCGTTTTTTTTTATTTTATCGGAATATTGGAAATAACTATTCTTCACAACCACTGGTCCAGTAATCAGAATTTAAGAAAACTAAAGATTGAGGTTATTTTTTATTTAAAACTTTTTTTTGTTTTTTTTTTTTTGCATTGCTTTGATATTATTCATTTTTTTTAGTAATTTGAAGTTATTAATATTTTCATAATGAAATTAAAGGTACCAATTTTGCTGCACCAGTAAATTTCAACTTATTTTGATTTTTTTTGTTTGTTTCACAATTCAACTTTTAGTCAGTTTCAATCACTGTGTGATAAATCATGTTTATCATGTGACATATGGCGGGTAGTTGAGT